GTAGAAGAAGTTTGATTAAACTATTACAAGTACTGTATTATTGGTTTACGATTTACGATTAAATTATGACTACATGATCAGTGCAGTGATCATTTTCTTGACAACGCATTACCGTTTCAATAAATAGCTCTTCCAGTTATTTCTGTTTGATCCACAATTTGTGGTTTCTGGTTTGGATGTTGATTTCCAGGTTTTCCTTAAACCAAAAAGCATAGCAAATTTATTGAAATCAGATCAGAACAGATCGATTGCAATCTGTTTAAAAAAACTTAGGTAAATAAGTCTCTCCAAAACAAACCATCCAAATTAAACCGTATACAAACATTAGAATAAAATTATAAACACTTTTAAAGAAAACAATAGTGATGTAACAGTATTCTAAACTACAAAAATCCAATATGATGAAATAACACCTATCAATCAACTCGGTAAAATACAGGAGAGCATCGTTTTGTCTCTTGTAAATAACAATTACGTGTAACGATAGCGAGTCAACAAACTATCAGACGATTACATCATGGCGCGTGCTATCCAGATGTAAACTAAATAGGGTTGCCTGTGTGTATCCTTTGATAGTTATTTTTATAGTATAAATATTAATTATTTTTATAGTATAAAGTTAATTAATCGGAAAAGATATATTTGAGAGTACGTCGGAAAATATATATTTGAGAGTCACGAAGTACTTCGTGAAAGACCGGCAATGCACTTAAGTCTCTTCTGTTGTTGCGGGTGTCCATGAGTGGCGCTAATCGCCTACTATCAGGATCACCTTTGTTTCATATATATTTAATAAAAATACTAATAATTCTCCTGGCATAACTTCAAGGAAATGTCTAGTCTAACGCTCAAAGAAATCCCATGGATATTCATAATCTAGTATGCTTATTAAAGTTATTAAAGAAATCAGTTCTCCAGGCGTTTATGTACAACCCTAAATGTACCGTAGTAATTGCGCCTGCGCGGGGATGCCTTCACGTATGTAAAAAGAAAATAAAAGTGTAAACCTGTTCCGCTAAGAGACTCCCGTAATGACTAGCTCTAGCGGTTAGCGGGACTCTCTTGATATCGATAGCGAACATCGATAGAAAAATCGTTACAACTATATGTAATCGAGTATTCGCCCTTAACCTTTGAATATATTTTTGTCGTAAATCTAATCTGAATAATTGCTCTACTTTACGTCAAAAGGAACGCGGAAATTATTTATCATGTTATGGTTAAATTATGTATAAACTTACGCATGTCACTTAAATATGACAAGTTTCTATTTACCATAAGTAATTACATAGGTATGTTGTGTACTCAAATATTGACTTGTGTAATTACACATGTTAAATATTAGGTAAATTGTTACAGCTTTTTTGTGCAGACCAGCACTAATTACAGACTACGTGAAATGTCAAAACTATGAAGCGAACAAAAACGCACGTACTATCTTGGTTTGTTACGAACTTTGAGTATGTACCAATCTGTGTTACAAGTACTCGTGAATCCGGGACTGTAGACGACCTTGCGGGTTACCGACCGGGGCTCCGATTCCAACCAGGCGTAGAAACGGGGTGATTTTTATTTAGTAGGAGTCTGCCACTCCCTCTAATCTCACCTACGACGAGCAAAATCATTTGATGACTCCCCCGACCTCAAAAAAAGTACTTATAATTTATTCTCCAATTCAATAAATCAATATATATATCGATTATTCGAAATCGATAAGTTCCCGATCGCAACACTCGTTTCTCAAGCATTCAACTCTCGATATGGGTCAGCGTGCTGTAAACGGGTCCTGTGACGTGTACAGGTGCAATATTTTATGATCACTCTTTACGATGTATTATGTCAGAGCGCGAACCTCTATCCCTGAAGACGTAATATTAAACATGTGTTTTGTGTATACGTTTGTGAGAAAGACAAGTAGAAAATAGCTGTATCTATAATACAAATGGTTTTGATATGAAATTAAGTTTAAAATATAGTAATTAGATAGATTGCAGCAGATTAATTTGATCGTGTTTGTACTTATATCATAAAGGTTAAATAAATAACAAAATTGAATGTAAATAGTTTAAAAATAAATCTGTATTCTATATATTTTCTTCATAAGATAAGCATTAGAAACGTTAAGGTATGTAACCAACTTGAATTCAAGATAGAAGTAGTTGAATACTACTGTGAATCAAGCACGCGACTCGTGCAACGACTGGACAAGAATGCTAAAGAACGTGTGTTGCATTCGATAAAAGTTAACAGTAATTTGTTTACAAAGATATTATAGCAAATGCAGGTCTAGATTAATAAACTTTAATAATTCAACGCATTTATTTTAAGTGCACGATTTATAATATGTAACACTAAATGTCACCGCCATTTTGAAAAAAAAGCGCGCAAATTGTGTTCGTTTTGACAGCTAATTTTCATTCATACTTTCGCATTTTTATTAAATTAAGAATGCTCTACTATTGTATTAAAAATAATTTTATCATATTGAATCGTTCCAGATATAAATCGATACGAATCGATAACATTTCCCTCTGTTATTAGGAGCGTTGCATGTGCCGTATTTCAGAATCGTTCGAGATCGGACAACAAACGTATCTAGATCGGATGTCGTAACAGGCATTGCGATATTTATTTAGAGCAATGTAAATCAAGTGTGAAAGTACTGACCCACTGACTGTACGAACTTAAGGCTCGTTTTTAGTGCTTATGCAGAGCCTTTGTCGTTTTTGTCGCAAATGTTGTTCGCTAAAAGGATAGTTGTAAACTTTACGTAAGATCCGAGTAAGAAGGAAGGATTTCGATACTCTCAGAAAAAGATTTGTGACTTAACAACGAAATGCTTTTACTGAAAGTATAGAAAACTAAGAAAAAGTAAAAATTCTAATAACTTCAAAATAAATGCTTCGATCTAAATCAAGTACCACCGATAGACTTAATCAAATGCAATAAACATAAAACAGTACACGCATGAGATAATAAAACTTACACTAAAATTGCGTCCTAAATGACACGAAATAACTTTGAAATTAGAGAAAATCGTGTAAAGAAAACCTCTTTACTTTCGACTTTCCACCCATTGATATTAATGGACTCTAAAATAGATGTGGTCCATTAAATTGGATTATCCGATATTTTACGATAAAGTTAAGAAAGTGCGTAAAAGAAAATGGCTAACAATCCATATCACCGTCGGTGATCGATTTTAAGAGTTCCAAAGAAAGTACGTACATAAAAGTTATTAAATATAAAATGTTACCTACATTATATAATGCAGTATTCAACGACATCACGACGTTCTTGTTCTCAATTAATTTGATGTACCTAAACCTTTTAAGTGACGCCAGTTGATCCTAGGTCTAATAGTAAATTAACTTTTCAATGCAATAAAACATTTGAAAATAAACCTACTTTTATTCATTAATTCTACGATATACTTATTTTTTTTAACAAATTTTTAAAAATTAAGTATGCTATTTAACGCATTTTGATGATGTCATAATTTGGTATTTCATACAAAATTCATAGGGTGGTATCGTTTCTAACATTTTGATAGAAGAATTTGACTAGTTGTTAACTACCGTATTATCTAGTAGTACGGTAAAATGGGGCTAATGGGAATCGAGAGGTGAATAGGGACAGAAGAGGGGTGAATCGATACTATGAAGAATTTCCTAATATCTATTCACCCCTCTTCTGCCTCTATTCACCTCTCTATCCCTATCCACCCCATTTTACGGTAATCGTTGATGAAGAAAACTTGTGAATCAAATCTTAAACTAAAATAAAAGACGATCCAAAATCTCAAGTCCCAAGTCCGATTAAAACAAACATGGTGGGTATCAAATGAATGGGAGGAACAGACGGAGGCGATCGTTAGACACGGACTGCGAGCCCCAATGTCGAACCCAATGCCACACATTGTTAACTGTCGGAAGGAAGCGAACGAACCGACGCTTTGTGTACTGTTAAGAACCTACGATAAGATGGTGGGATGTGTTGCTGGAGAAATTAGGTTCTTATTTGTTTTTGTTATAAGTATGCTGGTTGAATATTTTGGGTCGATGTCGATTGTAAAAGAGTGAATGAAAGAAAAGATAATGGATGTATTGTCTATCGCAGACCAAACCTATAAAGAAAAGTATAAAGATGGTGCTGTGTAATAGTGAATGGTGTCGATGGATCCCATATTATTTGTTTGTTTACCATCGATTTTCGTCATTCATCATCATGAGTTAAAAGAATTTGATGATAGTAACAATCGGACTGTTAAGATTCCACAAATGGAGAAGAAATAAAACCTGAACAAAGATATAATCGGAACGATTAACAAACTTATCGATGTTGTAAAAAACGATATCTCCAAAATACTCTAAGTACAACTACACATAATAATACTCCACGTAATCGAGTTCCGCTTCTTTGAAGTGTTAGAAAAACAGATTAACTTGTTGAACTTTTATCTTTGTACGCAAAGTACCTGGCTGATTAAACATATGACAATTAATCACGCTCCTCTGCATACAAATGTCGATTATAAGCATAAATTGACATTAAAACAAGACTGTATCTTCTTAATAGGTTGTCATTATCTATGAATGGATGTCAATAAGGAATAAAATGTATACAAACATGAATGCCAATATTAGCTTTCGCCACACCTCTTGTTTCATAACAGTGTTATGTATAATTGTATTCTTCGATAGAAAGTTCAACAATTGTATCAATTGTATCACTGATCATAATACTGGATGGTATAAATAATTGGTTCCGTTTCATATAAAAGACGTCTCAATATTTTCGTTAATTTCCATAATGGGTTGGTCAATTTTGCTTAAATAATTCCATTCTATTTTTAATTCGTATGTAAATACGCTGAAGTATTGCACACATTGTTAGCATAAATACTTTATTATTTAAATGAAACCAAGCATTTTTGTTCAATACGTTTGTTTATTACATAGTTTAAAAAAACATCTAATAAATATTTCTTCTTGTTTCAGCCTAATCCCATTTGAGACGGCAGTGGGTGGCGAGATGGTGTCTCGACGTCGAATACTTTCGCGTTCCCGCGACGACCTTACACAGGCGTTCGCAGCGCCCGTAGAAGAAGAGGAGGATGTATGGTATCAAAAGGATAAACTTTATAAGGTAGGATTTCATCATATAAAAATACTGCTGAGCGAATAAAATTAGGTTGGTCCTAGTATGAAACCCTGTGGGATTTTTGTGTCGATAATTTTTGCTCTAGTAATTTTCATTCATGTTACAATCTATAGCATGGTTACATTAATGATTTTAGTCTTTCTTGAATCCTTTATTATTATTAACTTTTATTAACTATAGAGTAAGAATTAATATCGTCATTCTGAAGATGTTACGAACGTGAGGTTGCATCGACTGTTGAAATATGCCTGTCTGTTTCCTCACTATTGCGATGTGAAATTTGAATAATAATGTGATAGATTGACTATCGCAAGACATAAACTAACATAAATTGATTAAAAACAGCATATTTCACACAATAAAATAAAATTTTAACACACTGAGTATACTAAAACAGAATATAATCAAGAAGACTAAACATTGTTAATGTAATAAAGTAATTATGATTGAAATTTCAGTTATTGAATCGATGAGAACAGAAAAAAAACTATGAGAAACAATAACTTTTCTCAGGTATCCTAAAAACGTAACCTCCAGCAATTTATAGGCATCAAACCGTTTCCTGCCATTGTATCAAAGACTAATGAGCAGGCAATCAAATCATAATAGGCTGACGATACCCAAATTGGTATTTAAACTTTCTATGCATCAATCACGAGGTCGTTGAGCCGATGTAAGTAATGTTCACGGCTCAGTTCACACAGTCACTGCTATAATAGTACTGAATGACAGATCATAGGAGAAACCATTATGACAATTTGTCAAAGTGAAATCTTTGACTTTCCACAAATTAGTCCTATACGCGTGTCCACTTATACTATCGTAAGTGATATTGAGAGAAATTGTTTTACATGGTTGGTGCTATACTTATCAGTGTAAGAGAAACATAAATGCTTTTAAAAATTTCAATTGTTGCTTTATCGTTTTAATTTTTTACTTGTTTAAGATATTTTTCATTCCGACCACAATTGTGGTTAAGAATCCCTGAGAAAGCATCCAGCCCTTCTAACACAATTTCATCTTACACAACAGTTACAAATTGAAATTAATTAACTTCATTTGCAACTTAAACACTACTATCTCCCATAGTTGTTCCGCGTACATATTACGTTTTCCTTTTCTTTGTCTTTGGTTACGTTTTTGTAACCGTTTCCGACTGCTTGCAGTTATTAAGGACGTGAGAACTCGTCGTACTATATACTGTATCTGACACTTACCACGTTTCATTTAGCTTCAACATCACAAACGATAGCATCGCTATATCGATATCCATCGACAGCTGAGAAAAGATAACATTCATACGTGCACTAAATTCAGTAGCATTGTATTGAAATTGGTTTGATTGTGTAGTGACGTAACAGCCACACAATAGTGTCTCGATTGACTCTCACAATGTTGTTTGTTCGACGCCTCCATTTATAGTTTTTGTAAAGGCTTTCGCGGATATAATATCTGCGGTTGACAGTGAAAGCCTAGAATCACGAATGCCACATTCAATCAAAACATTGCATTATTGATAGATTTTTCTATTGATTCCTGCGGTTGTGGCTGAAACGTGTTTTCTCTTTTTTCTTTTCAAAGCTTTTTCATTATTTCATCAACGCGGTTATACCCTATAGTCTAAACTTTATGTAAGCTTCACGATAACACACCGTACGATAACAATATTTTTCGTAAGCAAAATCAGTTGAACAAATCAACAATAGTTATCTTTAGTCCCTGAGATTCTCTCTCAGAATTCCGTTGTTTCTTCAGTTACGACATGGATAACTAATTATGTAATCCTAAAAGGGAACAAACCGCAGACTAGCGTAAGATTTAGTTTGGTTGTTAATTTCTTACTAAACCCACTTGAAACTTTAATGAAAAGTCGGAATTCATTTGTGCATTTCGCAGCGAGTACCGACTCGACTAGAATTACTAGTTTTTGAATTATGGTTAACATTTCTCAAGAAACTTCGGCGCCGCTTGCCATTTAGTTAATGCCAAACTATTTGCTAAACAAACATTACTCAAGGAGGGTTCTTTTCGCAATGTTTGCTTGTCTGTCAATCGCTGTACGGTCAACTCTGACCCATTGATCGCGATCGTGACCGATGACTAACAATGAACAAGTTACAGCATAGAAAATTGGCTAGTAACCATCTGGTCGCGTACAATTTTGACCTTATGGCTATACAATGTCAATTTGCAAGTGATTTGTTGGAACCACTGGAAGTCTCAAGAGTGTAGTAGGCTTTAGTTGCTAGCAATCGAAACTGATGATGTTCTAGGTTTGAATGTAACTATCGGAACGGGAAATATACATAGATAACATACAGATAAGAGAGCAAACAGGAATATGAAGAATGGAAAAGAAACTGTTATTCCAATAGACAAAAGTATTTGTTAACGATCATAGTGTTTTAGATAACAACCATATCGATTACTCTAATTGTAACATTTGAGATAAAGAATTGCATAACTTAATTTATAGTTACTCAACACCTTACGTCTAGTAAAGAGATGGTGACTAAAAAGACGAAATGGATAAGATGACAGTAATAAAAATTGAAAAAAAGTAGCAACGCAAACTATAGACGAAATAATTTATTGGAGATTTGGTCTTATTTTAAAATTCAATTGGATTACAGATAATATATTTCATCTTATTCAAGATCCACTCAAGTGCATGTAATCATTTCAAAGTCAGAATTGCCGGATATAATAATATGTGAGGGCATTGATCTGACATGACAGTGGGAGGGCCAAATTGACCTTAAAAGTTCAGATCAGCAAAATTCTTCGATCAAAATTGCAACGTTCATTCATATTCGATTTTGTTAAGTGAATCTTGTAATGATCATGCAGATTGTCAAGTATTTCTGTACATAAAGGATATTGAATTGAATACAATTTCTTCTTTAAATGTACCGCTATAATATGATTTTAATTACGGCTTACTTCGTTTAATATGACTGCTGAGCATATATGATTGATTTTCAATCGTCTCAGTACAAAGTTCAGAAAAGGTTTAAATCTGCGACTGGTTTTGTGTTTGGCACTAAATGCAAAGGTTTTAGGGCTAATTACATAACTGGGCATATTTGCTTCTATCTATTAGTTACACTAATATTAAAGCTTTTGTATCATTTGTTATCTTCATTTAATTCACCTCCCGCCATTGTACAGTTAGATGTATGATTTGAATTGCACTAACATTTTGCAAGTGCATTATTACAATTTAGTCACGAATCTCCACTGGCTCCGAACTACGCTTTTAATATCAAGGCTTTAAGAACCGTACCGAAATTAAGAAATGAATGCAACCCAAAAGTAGTTTAAGGTCATCGTGAACTCTACTTTGAGCGTTTCTTTCAAGATTTTTATAAAAACAGCCGTTATGATTTCGAAGATGGAAATTATTCCATTCATATATTTTTAAGATAGGAGATATATTTTTTAATCTTTAATTTATTTTGCGATATCAAGCCGTTTTGCATTATCGTCTTCATTAGTAGTTTAGTTATTGACCAATACCCCATTTTAACTATAACACTTCATATAATATGTGCAATGATATCAATAACCAAGTACATAGTACATACACTCTTTAATTCTTTTTAATATCATTCCTTAGCAAGTACCTAAAATTCCTTAGTAATTTATTCTCACAGCATTCCTCTCACAGCTAGCATTTTATGATCCAAACATTCGTGTCATAGCAACTAACTAAAAGGCTCTAATCACTCGCCGATTGTACACACAATTATACAGCAGTGTCCTTATTTACTGTATACAGCGGCCTGCGTTTGCGCGGTGTCGAAACCTCACCTGACACTTGCCGTTGGCCAACCCAGCTGTCTGTCTAGCATGATTTTACGACAAAAATTATTAACACCATATTAATATTCAAAGTGTTGATACGTTGCACAAGACTCGAAGGAAAATATTTCCAATTTGTAATATCAGTTGTAAATTTAGACCATATCGTCTTTGTCTCCATAAAAATAGACAAAGACCATAATTTTAGAAGTATCATCTTCAAAGAAATTCCCATTAGTTTTACATAACAAACATTTCTCCCATCATCTTTCTGCGATAGTAATTGTTTTAGACACTTTAATTGTACTGAGATCACGAGCCGCGTGACGTTCAACGATCTTATGTACACGACACACAAACGCATGTAATGAAAGTGAAAACGTATAGTTAGGAATGTAAACAACGAGATGAACTTTATTTTGCTTTGCTAAATTGTTCATTTTTACATCTACTGCTACTGCTACTTATACTTTGGCGGTGACGTCTGTTTCATTACTATTATTTCCAGTTTATTCATCATTATTCACTACTAAATGAAAGTTATTAATAGCTTAACGATTATCATCAATAATTTCTTATGCAACTTCATTACGCTTATTCTCATTTTTACCTAATACAATATCAGCAGCTTCGATATCTGTTTAATCAATCTTATTTACTTCATCTTGCATTGTTGATTTGCGTGTAACAAGCTCTTACATGCCAATTTCATAACAGTTATCGAACGATCCGTAGTAACAATAACTGCGATACGTAACATTTATTTAACAACATACATCAATGAAGCTTCGTTAATTTTAGATTACTATCGCAATCACAACCATATACGATATACAAAGAAGCCACCATGTTTCAATACAGCGACAAGTATTACAAAATTTTAGAAAATGCTGTCAAATCTAATGAGTTTTATTAGCCAAATTCAAAAGAGCGTGAACATGCCTCCGGAATGTTGATGGATAATAAGACTGGTAACATGTCATGGGTCAATATTTGACATTTAAATAAGGTGGTCTAATAGAGTAATGATGTAATGTCTTCGGTCGGGCTCGTCTTACGAAAGTACACAGTTGTCACTTTGTATGTTTGATATTTAGCTTTTTTTTTTTTTTTTTTTTTTTTTTAAGGGGGGAAAATCATCGAATGACTGCTCCCGCCTGGGTGAGGCGGAAGGGAGTGTC